CTGGCTTCCTTGTGCCCAGGGACCTCATCGGGTTCCAGCTTTATTGACAGAGCCGGACAGAGGGGTAACAGCCCCTCGTCTGCAAACCCCTCACATCAGACAGAGCCGGGAGGAGGATTCACACACTCCCTGCGCCCGCCGAAGGCAGCAGCTTCTCTCAGGGCCGAGAACACAGAGCCAGGGGGGCGCTGCGGGTCCCGTCACAGCCCCTCACCCTGGAGCTGTCGGGACTGGGGAAGCCCAAGGACAGACACGCTGTCTGCTGCGGATGCCTATCGAGGAGACTGCTCTGTCTGCTCTGAGAACCTGCCTCGTTAACCTCGGTGTAAAATCGACACAGCTCAGAGCTGTTACTATCAAACAAACTGAAAGGCTTTATTGAATGTATTTTTTTTCCATCTTAATGTTTAGAACAAGATACTTAACAACATTAACATTCATTTTTACATCCCACGTCATGCTCAACTGTGCTGCTACTGTAGCTACAGCTGCGTATTGTCTGCTTGCCTCAGACTGAAGATTTGTGGTGAAACAGATCCTTAAACACACAAAACCAGAAAATGCAAGTAGGTTTTACTAGGGAGGCAAACGTTTTGCTGCATGCACCTCTCCATCAGAAACAAGGCCAGGTTTAGCAGACATCAAGAGCATCTTTTGTCTTTGTCTAATCTGGAAGCTGCACTGCACAGAACTGGGAAATGAGTTAATGTACACAAAGTTTGCTGGAGCAGCAAAAGAAACAGAAAGTGCTTGATCTAGTGAGAAACTGTAAAGAGAACAGAAGCTTTGCATTCCAAACATAGGATTCCCCCAGGAATGAGAGGTATTTGAAGATGGTCACTTTTACATCTGGAATTAAAAGCTGAGATTTCTCACAGAAAAATGCAAATCAGTTAAGCAAACCAAGAAATGTTTGGTGAGGAAAAGGGAAATATTTGGCAGGCAAACTCTAAAATGTTGAGCAGCTCTCTGGGACTCGCATCCCATGGACCAAACCAAAACCACAGTCTGTTGTGTGGCTAAACACCAAGCTCATGTACAATCTTTGTGCTCATCCCAAGCATCTCCTGGACACTTGCTGCCTAACGTCCCTTCTCCAAAAGCACAGTACCATTCTGATAAGCCAGTGTGTGAAACCACCAGGGGGAAGGAAGGTTTAGCAAAGTATAAAGTGTTTCTTCAAAAGTGCCTAAGTAGTAAACAACACTCCTCTGGGTTTGTCCATTTCCCACTGTGCCCAGAGCCATTCCACACGGGCAGTTTTCGTGCCCCCAGTTGAGGTTAGGTGCTCAGAAGCTGACTGTGCTGGTCACTAACTACAGACCACGTCTCTTACACTGATGCCCATCAGCAGACAGAGCTGTGCAAGCGTCCTCCTCCTATAGGTGTGTTTTGCAGCAGCCAAAAAGGTGGCCACCAGGTTCTACCACTCTGGTAAGGGAACAAGAGGCTTCAAATGTAGATCACATCTGAGTCGTGCTGTTGAACCTACAGGCAAACCAAATAGGAAAGATTAGTGTCATGCTGAACTCCTACTGACAGCCAAGTAACTCCCTTTGGTCCAGTTCTTCCTTCTCCTCCAGCTCTGTAGCCTTTTGCAAGATGCTCTGTCATAGCTTTTTCTTCCTTCTTAAAACAAGCATCTTTCCATCACTCCTTGGGTTAGTTTAGTCTTAAAAGTTGCTTCTGTTACTTGCAGTAGAAAGAGCTGCTTCCACATCTGCTGCTGCACTCAGTTGTCTTCCTTCCAGTTCTAGGCACAGAGCTCTGAAGATGCAGGTGCAGAACGTTGTATACTACAGCCTCTAACTGATCCTGAGCCCCCTCAGTGTTGTTCATACAAACCAGCAGCAAACACACTGAGCTTTCTTTATTCCCAAGCCCTTGCACAATTAGCATTGCCTAGAGAAGGCTGATTTGATTACTGCTCAAGGCCACGTGCCCTTACAGAATGCACACTAGAGCCTCCAATCTAGAGATTCAAATGCAGGCTCTTTTTTCACAAGACAGCCACATGTTGACTTGTCTTGCCCAGCTCTGTCATGGCCTCAGAAGACAGGTCCCTAAAGCCAGACACTCTTTTAATCTCTCAACTCTCAACTTTTAGTCAACATTTGGGAACTTACTTAGAAATTTAATTACCTTTACAATCTGTTTTCTGGTTCCCATGCCCACATTGTTGGCAACCAAGGAATTTGCTTGGAAAGATGACTTTTCCATTGGAACCGTGTGTTGAATTTTGTCAGTACAAGGCCAGCTGCTTGGAGTATTTAAAGAGTAAGCAGGGAAAGGTCTTTGAAGATTTATATCCAGTGAATCCCCAGTTTCAAAGGTTTTCATCCATGATGGGCTCTTCAAAAGAAAAGAAGAAGTAGAAACTTAATACCTCTCTGCATCAATACCCATGAAGCAAAAAGAACATCAGATACATAGTCAGAAAATCAAGGCCATCTTCCCTCATAATTTTTCCAAGCCTCTCTTCTCCCTCTAAAACTATTGACTTCAAGCTATCTTTGCTACATGTGGAACCACCTGGAAAGACAAAGCCAGCCCTACTCTTGCACTGGCTCAGGAAGAGGCTGGGGTGTTTATATAAATAACAAACTTACTATACAAATCTGGGTTTAGTTCCTCACTGCCTTAAAAAAAAATACCCCAAGACTTTAATGACTTCTAGCAACCACAAAACACATGAATGAGAATGTGATGCAAACTATGAGGAACCACATTTAAATGTGTTACTCAGTTGCAATAGCTCAGTCTGCTCCAAGACCATAAACCCTTACTGTGAGTTCATCATTTGAAAAATAAAATTCATTTTTTTTTGCTTAGGGAAACAGTATTCTGCCCAGGAAAAACTTCTTAGGTTTTATTTTGACATGAATTTTCCTTGTTTGTGCTCGTGCTTATAATATTTTAGTACCCTTGGCACTGAAGCACATGTCTTGCACTGAAAGAGCAATACAAATTTGGCACACACACACACACACACACACACAACTCTTTTGTGGTTCATGCTGAAAGCAGTGGCAGGTATTTGGGGTACATACACTTCCTAAGGAGTGGTCCAAGGTTCCCAGTACTTCATTCCAATGAGAGTAAAGCCCAGCCTGCTTTTCTTCTAGTTTCAAAGCATGAATTTCAGACTTCAGTTCCTTCAGTCGATCTTCAAATTTTCTGCTCTTTTCTAAGTAGTCTAGCCTACAGTCCACACATTGGAGACAAAAAGCTTATTGGCATGACATAGCTTAAGAACAGGGGTGTGTGGAAGGAGGAAAGAGGAAATCCTTGGTTTCATTTTCGGGTTTTGATAAACAAAATGAAGTCTGGCACTTGTCAGCCCGACTGCCCCGATCCCGTGGGAAGGGGCTTCACTTCCACCCTTCAGCGTTCACACACGTAGTACCTTTTTACCAAGCATTTCCTCCCAGACGGAGAGGAAAAGGCTCTGGATGTAGCGGATCAAAGCAATACGACCCTTCAACACTAGAGGGAACCTTCCGTCCTCTAACACGCCGTTACTCCGGAGAAAGACTTCGCCCCTGGCAAAACGCTCTCCAAGACCAAACGGTTCTGGACTTGTCACGGCTTG